ATGAGGTTTATCATCTCATCTATTGTCTCAAATGCATTCGACGCGACCAAAATTCGAGGTATAAAACAGGCCTTAAGCCTGTTTCCCAATAGCGAATTCCTTCGCGCGAAGCGAATTGAATTTTTTATTGTTTAAATTGAAAAGAATTGATTATGAATCTAATTAGTTCCAGTCGAGAGCTCATAATACAAATTTGCGCGAACAAATTCGCATGGAAAACGTCCAGACCACAGAATAAAGATCCATACAGAAGGGCCACTTATGTCGGAAGCTTTGAAGTTTCTGTCCTCGCGCATTACGCATGTTGGCCGCCATTTTCCTAGCCAGTCAATGACATTTTCTGGCCAATAAACACGCTGTACTGGCTGGCTGCTCCGCCTTCTGGCCAGTAAACTGCATATTTTTGCATAAAAAAACGAGGACATGTTGCACCGCTGAGTGGCCCTTCTGTTACTGTTCTCTTTTCTGTGGTCCGGACGCGATTCGACAACGCGACGAGATTTTTTAGTTTTTGAAAGTTAGTAAAACAGCCAATGAGAGCAAATTTTGAAAGATAGATAGACCAAATAACTCAAAATGTTATAGCACTTCAGAATATTTGGAAAATTTAAACCAGGATCAAAGTTATCGCTCAGTGAAAATCGAAAAATCGCGTCGCGTTGTCGAATCGCGTCCGGTGGGTCTGGACCTTTAAAGGCCGGATTCCACGAGGCGGAATTTTTCGACCGAAACGAAATTTCTCTTTGTCTTTTTACAATTAGTTCTGCTCGAGAGCTCTGAAACAAAGAGAAATTTCGATTCGGTCGAAAAATTTCGCCTAGTGGAAAACCGCCTTAAGGCGGTTTTCCACTATGCGAAATTTTTCGATCGAACCGAAATTTCTATTGTTCAAATTCAAAAGATTTCTGATTAGGGGCGGACCACAAACCATTAGAAATCCCGGGAGGGGGGTCTAAAATTTTTGCGGCACGAATTTTTTTTTCAGTCTCGTGTCTCTGCAGGAATTTTTTTTAATGCATTTAACCTCTGCACGAATTTTTTTTCAAGACTATTTCTACTTCGCTGTTTGCTTGCACGAATTTTTTTTCTCTGACGTAATGGCTGCACGAATTTTTTTTCCAGGCATTTTCCTTTGCACGAATTTTTTTGGGGGAATTTTCACCCCCCCTCCCGGGATTTCTAATGGTCCGCCCCTTAGTTCCATCTGAGTGCTTTTAAGACAAAAGAAAATTTCGATTCGGTCGAAAAATTTCGCCTAGTGGAAAACTGCCTTAAGGCCTGATTCCAGGAGAGCTTTTTCTCGGCGAAATGCGAATTATTTCGCCTGTTTCTTTTGAATTGCGACCACTCGAATAAATTACTTCTACTTGATTG